AATCTCGGCGTATGTATATTTATGTGCGTCCTTGTCCTCTTGGTTCAGCTTAAAGTAGGCCATCAGTTGACTGTCGTTGTTACGGCGGGCGACACAAAGTAGATCCGCGTATGTGACGTTGTGCTGGCCTATGAGATGGACCTGTAGACGTTGCACAGCAGGTGAACGACCGTACAAAGGATATCCAAGGACGCGCCACATGCTTTCATGGGAAGAGAGGTATCTCATATCGCGAAATTCGCGAATGTCGATGCGTGAAGGATGCTATTATACAAACGATAGCAAACAAAAAGAGAGTGAGAAAAAATAGTAAGCAAGGAGTTGCAATGGTCAGACATCCAGGGAAAAAAATGCGCAAAAAAAGTACCTCCTTGCTTGCTGCATTTTTTTTGGTGTGCAGCGATTGAGCCTTCAGTGGCGGTGGTGTTATACCCTGTAGCGGTAGCTGTAGCAGTGGCGGCGCTGGTGCTGGTGCTGGTGCTAGTGCTAGTGCTAGTGTTGGTGCTGGTGGATGCAAAGACGACGATGGGATTGATCAGTGGAGGCAAACAGAAGACCCTTCTTTTTCGAGGGCGATCTTGGCTCTGCTCGGTCCATTGGGAAAATGAAAAATGAAAAATAGAAATTTGTGTATGTCCATTGATGCTTTGACTTCTGTGCTGCGATACTATTGTTTCTTTTGCTTTGATAGAAATAAGGGGGCAATGAACAAAAGACATGCCTTACGGATGTGCTCGTATAAATATTTCACGGCAGAGACGGAAAACCATATCTCGACATTGAGGTGGGTGTTGAACTTGGTTGCCAGCCAAAGGTTGTGAGGCACGACCCAGCTATTGTCGATCTCTGTCGGGAGATTATCGGCCAGTTCTATTTGGTTACACCTTCCGGCACAGGCATCCAAGGTCGCCCTCTTAGTCCCAAAAGACCTGGCAAGATGTTCAAGGTGGCCGACAGGATTCCGGCCATCACACCCACACTTGGTGCACATGCGTCTGGAGGTGGGAACTGGCGTGCGCGTGTTCGTGATGCTGTTGGAGTCGCAGACGTTGGCGTTGGAATTAGTACCGCTAGTGCTGGTGGTACTGGTGGTGCTGGTGGTGCTGGTGGTAATGGTGGTGCTGGTGGTAATGGTGGTGGATGATGGTGCCGCTTCCGATTCCTCATCAGTCTCCTCTTCAACAATCATTCGCCGTCGCTTGTCCAACTTAACCGAGGTTGTCCCAACAATGGGCGGGCGATCGCTATTGATGGTGCCGTTTTGGTAGGCATCGTAAATGTCTATTGAAAAGACATTGTCAAATTGCCATTCGTCAGCAAATCACTCAGGACGTCAATGAAATCATTGTCGTCATTGAATCCATAGTCTTTGTCTGTGTCCTGACCAGTGACAGGGACGGCGATAGTAGGTGTATTGTTGCTAGAGACGTTTTTTGCAACCTGCTTCTGCTCCTGCTTCTGCCTCTGCTCCTGCTCCTGCTTCTGGTCTTGAGTTGAGTTGGTCCTGAAAAAGACCCTTAATCGACGTCCACTTACCTTTGAAGTTGGCGTTGGGGTGGGGAACAACAGTGGCAACCTTGGGCTTGAAACCCCGGAGGTGTGTATACGCATCCTCAATACGTAATGTTGTCGGGGACAGGGTCGTGAACAGGAGCCGTTGAGATCAAGACGCTTCTGCTGTCGATATCAGAGGTCATGTTGTTGACGGGGACATCAGGGGTTGGATCAGAGACATTCACGATAGTTGTATTGTCGTTCTACGTATCGTCTGTATTGCAGCGCCTGCGATTATTGAGAGTGGTGCGCCCTTTACAATGCGCTGCAGCAGCCGAACCAAGACCTTAGAGCTCAAAGAGGACTGTTACCTGCGATAAGTAGGAAACAGTACTAAAGGTCAGGGATGAACAGAAATGAACATAAATAACATAGTTGCATATAGACACTGACATAGACTTACTTTGGAGCAGCAGCAGAAGAACGGGTTCCGGTACGGGTATAAAGAGGCGTGGATGGTTTGCGCATGTTGAAGAGGATAAAACTTGAGACTGTAGAAGATATGTCAAAATATGGTCAAGGATTAATGAGAATCGATACTGAGAATTATGAGACGCTTACCCTTTTCTAAAAGAGAAATAATACAACCTCTTCACTCTCCTTGTGCCACGACATACCGTTACCCTACTGTTCACTGACCATGCTCAGTAGATTGGCGTCTGTGTTCTCTTCATTCTTGTTCTTCCTTGTGGTATGTGTGCTCGCGTCTTCGTGTTTGTCCATGCCAAGCTGAGTCCTCATGTCTGTCCATGCTGAAAAGGATGGTGTATGGTCGAATATGTCAATGGAAAGAAAGAGAGGAATATTTTATTTCACACCTTAGAGGGGGTAATATGCGTACGCAACCCACTCTGATAGTGAGTTCTCACTTTGGTGTTAACATCATGAGTCTGGTGCATTTTTTCAAAAAAAAAAAAAGGGCCAAGCTGCATCTTCATGTCTGTCCATGCCAAGCTGCATCCTCATGTCTGTCCAGTCCATGCTGCGTCTGCATTCTCATGTCTCATTTTGTCCATGCCATGCTGGTGGATGTCTTTTTTGTTTCTGGTGTCGTTTGTTGCTTGCTGTTGTTGCTATTGTTGTTTGTTGCTTTCTGTTGCAGTTTTTGTTGTTGTAAAAGAAAAGAAGGGGTGGGTTAAAAAAAAGGGGTGATGTTATCGATAACATGATGTCAAGCATGGAGACGCCACGCGGTTGTGCAATTATGCAATTACAGAAAGGTTGTGTATATCATGTGATTTATCCCTCGTGGATTTTAGTATATGAGACTAGAAAGGTTGCCCGTGGGCGATGCCACGGGTGCCGGAAGTTGCTGTAAGGGGGTCTGGGGTGAGGGGTGTGGGTCTTGGAAGGGTCTTTGAAGGGTGTTTGAAGGGTCTTTGAAGAAGACTCGTTTAAAGATAAGGGTGCCACTTGCCTATTACCTTTTTCCTTTTTCAAGTGTAGTGTGACTGTAAATTTTTCACAACAACCTGTGGCCAATGGCATGCTTGGGGAATGTAGAGCTCATACCTGTGGAGTTTCCTGTTGTGCCATAAAGAATAATATCCCTGGTCCCAGCTGGGCCCAGCTGACCTCCCTTATTAGATAGTCATCTTAGTAGCTGGGGAGCCATCCCCCTGGCCTTGTTTGTATTCATTATTCTCTCGGATCACCCTCACTCGCAGTATATTCAAGATATCCTTGACTACCCTTTGCTCTACATCACGCCAGAGGATTTCTTGCTTTTTAGTAGGCTTGCGAAAAGGCTCGTTCACAGCATACTGGCGCTTTGCGCTAGATGGCCCAGACGGCCACGCTCCAGCGGTCGCTTCCTTTTGCCGCAGGCGGCAATAGGGATCTGACAGCTACAGCTTTGCCCTTACGAAGTACTGGGGCTTTGCGCAAGAAAGTTTCTCTGGTTCGGGCTACGCCCTCATATCCTCTTGTCCCGTGCCCGTACGCTCGCTGCGCTCACAGGATACTGGCGCGCTTTGCGCAAGATACTCTTAATGGCCTTGCCCGTGACCATCGCTCGCTTCGCTTACAAAGTACGGGTGCTTGGCGCAAAAAAGGTCCTGGTTCGGGCTACGCCCTCACATCATCTTCTCCCTTTCGTACCCGTGCGGTCACAACATACTGGCGCTTTGCGCAAGATACTTTCGATTGTCTCGCCAGGGCGCGCGCCCGTGACCATTGCTCGCTGCGCTCACATCCTCTTCAAAGCCCCTTGATTCGGGCTACGCCCTCATATCCTCTTAGCCCGTGCCCGTACGCTCGCTGCGCTCACAGGACACTGGCGCGCTTTGCGCAAGATACTCTTAATGGCCTTGCCCGTGACCATCGCTCGCTTCGCTTACAAAGTACGGGTGCTTGGCGCAAAAAAGGTCCTCTGGTTCGGGCTACGCCCTCACATCATCTTCTCCCTTTCGTACCCGTGCGGTCACAACATACTGGCGCTTCGCGCAAGATACTTTCGATTGTCTCGCCAGGGCGCGCGCCCGTGACCATTGCTCGCTGCGCTCACATCCTCTTCAAAGCCCCTTGATTCGGGCTACGCCCTCATATCCTCTTAGCCCGTGCCCGTACGCTCGCTGCGCTCACAGGACACTGGCGCGCTTCGCGCAAGATACTCTTGATGGCCTTGCCCGTGACCATCGCTCGCTTCGCTCACAAAATACTGGCGCTTCGCGCAAGACACAGGCGCTTCGCGCTGGCGCTACGCGCAAGATACTGGTGAGGGCCACGGCCCTCACAACATTTTTAGTTCGGGCTCCGCCCTCACGTGATATACAGAAATCGTTATTTTTTTAAAGAGAAAGAGATGAGATAGAGATGAGATTTTAGTATATGAGAAGTCGCCAACTAAGTTCTAGGTGTAGTGTCATAGAGAGTCGGAGATAAGAGAGAGTGACAAGAAATGACTAACTAGAGAGCAATAGTAAACCTAATAAGTTGCACGGTGCCGGAGCGAGCGTTCAGCAAGTGAATTCGTTTCGTTAAGCCCGTACTAAGTACCTGTATGTGGTCTTAACGAATGGTATCGAACTGAAAACCGGTTCGTTAAGAAACACTGGGCCCCTTGGTTCGTGATACATCTAACTTTCAACTCCGAGGAAAACCTGATATGATGAGTTGGAGATGATGCCAAAGACAGACAGGCTGATTCAATAGAGTTCCTGGGTGAGAGCAAGAAGGGTACAAGAATGGTATATTTGAGATTTCAAGGTAAGGAGATAAGAGTGGCAGCAAAGAGGGCTATATAAGCTAGAGAGGGACGTGAGTCGATGGGCACTCCGGCTCTCTAAGGAAGCACTCATCTGTGAGACTTTCAGGCTAGCAAGCGAAAAAAAAAGCATGGGGGCTTTAGTACTGGTTTTAGTGGTGCATTCAAAAAAATAAAAAGCACAACATCGAGACAGTTTTGACACCTACTTTAACATCCACAAGCTGCAAATACTTATCATCTATACGTCCAGCTGTTGAATGAGCGAATTTACTGTGAACAAGCTCGTTGTCATCTTGCTGTTTCTCAACTGCTCGAACTTTGATGCTGCAGACACCACGGTGCTCATTATGTTGCCTGCAGTTTGAAGTGTTTTCGCTGGTTTTGGGTCGCCCACAGCTCCATACTGTTGGAGTAGTCTCATGTTAACCCTGCTCAAGCCTTGCGCGTCTTCCATGGATGCGCCTGACACAGTAAGTCTGTTATGTGCCGAACTCCATTTCAGGAGCGACTGAAAGATGCCCTTCTCTTCAATGATTTGCCACAAGCGAACAAAAGTATCACCACAGCCGGTTACCAAATAGATGTCGTCGTGAGTTGCTTTCCAAGCAATGCCGTTGATTGGTCCATGAAAATCCTTTACAACTACTAGACATCGACCCGATTTCGCATCCCACAGACGCACTGTCTTGTCACTACTGCCCGATGCAATCTGGTGGCCACTGGGAGAATAAGCCACGCTCTTAACAGCGTTGGCATGGCCACTTAAGACGGGGCCAGGTGCGCCGGTTTGCGTGTCCCACAGCCGCACAGTCGTGTCGTAACTGCCCGATGCAATCTGGTGACCACTGGGAGAATAAGCCACGCTATCAACATAGTTGGTATGGCCGCTTAAGACAGGGCCAGGTGCGCCGGTTTGCGTGTCCCACAGCCGCACAGTCTTGTCATAACTGCCCGATGCAATCTGGTGACCACTGGGAGAATAAGCCACGCTTATAACATAGTTGGTATGGCCGCTTAAGACATGGCCAGGTGCACCGGTTTGCGTGTCCCACAGCCGCACAGTCTTGTCGCAACTGCCCGATGCAATCTGGTGACCACTGGGAGAATAAACCACGCTCTCAACAGCATTGGCATGACCGCTTAAGACGGGGCCAGGTTCGCCGGTGTGCGTGTCCCACAGCCGAACAGTCGTGTCGTAACCGCCCGATGCAATCTGGTGACCACTGGGAGAATAAGTCACGCTTATAACATAGTTGGTATGGCCGCTTAAGACGTGGCCAGGTGCGCCGGTTTGCGTGTCCCACAGCCGCACAGTCTCGTCGCAACTGCCCGATGCAATCTGGTGACCACTGGGAGAATAAGCCACGCTCTCAACAGCATTCGCATGGCCGCTTAAGACGGGGCCAGGTGGGCTGGATTGCGTGTCCCACAGCCTCACAGTCTTGTCGTAACTGCCCGATGCAATCTGGTGACCACTGGGAGAATAAGCCACGCTATTAACATAGTCGGTATGGCCGCTTAAGACGTGGCCAGGTGCACCGGTTTGCGTGTCCCACAGCCGCACAGTCTTGTCATAACTGCCCGATGCAATCTGGTGACCACTGGGAGAATAAGCCACGCTTACAACATAATCGGTATGGCCGCTTAAGACGGGGCCAGGTTCGCCGGTGTGCGTGTCCCACAGCCGCAAAGTCTCGTCGTCACCGCCCGATGCAATCTGGTGACCACTGGGAGAATAAGCCACGCTATTAACAAAGTCGGTATGGCCGCTTAAGACGTGGACAGGTGCGCCGGTTTGCGTGTCCCACAGCCTCACAGTCTTGTCGCAACTGCCCGATGCAATCTGATGACCACTGGGAGAATAAGCCACGCTCTTAACAGAGTTGGCATGGCCGCTTAAGACGTGGACAGGTGCGCCGGTTTGCGTGTCCCACAGCCGCACAGTCTCGTCGTAACTGCCCGACGCAATCTGGTGACCACTGGGAGAATAAGCCACGCTCTTAACAGCCTTGGCATGGCCACTTAAGACGGGGCCAGGTTCGCCGGTTTGCGTGTCCCACAGCCGCACAGTTTTGTCGTCACTGCCCGATGCAATCTGGTGACCACTGGGGGAATAAGCCACGCTCCTAACACTGCTGGTATGTTCTTGTAAGGTGTGGGTCTTCGTCCAAGTCATGGTATCGTACACACTGATCGTGCCGTTTGCAAGGCCAAAGACACAGGTTTTCCCGTTCGGTGAATATGAGCAGCACAAGACCTCACTACTCTCCTGCAGGTACGGCCATTCGCCAAACTGTACGCCTGCCATCTGCGCCTTGCTGAAGTCGGCCTGACGCAGCCACGTATTGCGAAGATTTGCCATTCTCAAATCTGCCCCTTCCAGCTGAGCGGAATCGAATTGCCCGCCACTCAAATCTGCTCGTGGAATCTGGATGCCTTTCAAATCCGCCCCATTAAATCGTACGCCAGCTCTGACCAAAATCGTGATGGCATTGGCCGCTGCCTTGCGCATCGCTTTGTTAAATTTGGATTGTTCAATCATAGCGAGAAGTTGGTCCTTGAAGAGTGGCTCTTGCTGCGCGCGTTCGGATAAAAAGTCCAGAATGGAGGGCTCTGCCATAAAACTTCTCCACGACAAAGGATGATCGGCTGTAAATGGCTGGGTTGTGACTGGCTCGTCGTCCTTATCTGGCACCAGTTGATCGTCAAAGCTGAATATAGAGCTGACACTACCCCGTCTAGCTGGAGCTGCAGCTTGAACGGAGTTTTCCTTGCCTTCCTGGGGTTCAAAGACTGAGCGCGCAAAGAAATACTCTAGCAGGGACTTGTGGATGAAACGGTACTGGATCCCACTGCGTTTAAGCGGACTGGCTTCCAGCAAGAGCTGACTCTCATTCTCTCGGGAGAAGAATGCTTCTTTCCATTTCCCATGGTCTTGTTTACGGGAATAGGTCACCACAGGATTGCCCGCCTGGTTCTTGTAGATTGCACTTGCCATGTCCTTCAAGAAACTGATGCCGTTCTGAGTAAAGCCTTCATCGGTCAATCTGTCAAAGTCAACTCGTGCTTGTGGGTTCAGGTCCTTGTTTCCAAGTCGTTTTTTTCCTTGCTCCAGCCAAAGCCCAACGAATTCGTCATACAGAGCGACCCTCGTGATCCTGGTGGTCGTGAGATTGTTGCCTGGATCCACGAGTCGGGGCAAAACCTCCAGAGAAAGCGTCAACAGGAATGGATTCTTGATCAGCTCTTGAAGACTGGGAATCTGGTCGAGCACATCCACGTACTGTTTCGTGGTCCACAGCGGCGCCTTGGTGATCACATACTTTGCTAAGTAGTCATCGACTTGGGCCCTGGAGAAGGGAGCAATGACAGCCTCTTGAAACTCTGTGATGTCGTTTGACGGCTGGAAAAGATCACGATAGTCCAGCCCAATGTATTCGCTACGGCAGCTGACCACCATCTGCACCTGCCATTCTCCTGTCTGGTTCAGGCGATTGGTCGTGTAAAGATTGTGTTTCTCTTGACTCTCGTCGTATCCATCGCAGATCAAGACAAATTTGCGCTGGGCCTTCAACTCTCGAATCTGAGAATTAGAGAGTTCAAACTTGCGCAGTTGCTTGGCAATCATATCCTGTTCTGGTCTGTCGATGGCAGACAGGTTGATGTAAAGTGGGATCCGGCCTTTGACTTTTTCGTACTTTAGCCACAATTTGTGCTCGATCTCGCGATTGAATGTTGACTTTCCCGAACCCGAATCGCCAAGTAGAAGCAGCACCTTCTGGTCGGTGCTGGCTAGGAATTCCTCGACCTTTTCCGTCAAGGCAAATAGGACGTCGTCCGACGCTTTCAAATTGGCCTTGGCTAGAGGGGGGATATAGACGGCATCTCCTCGCTCCTTCAATCTCTGCTGCCTCAGCTTTCGCAAATCTTCCTCAACATCGGGCTTGTTCTGGACGCGATCCAGCAAGGTCAGAGGCGCGGATGGCGGCTGTGAGATCTTTAATGGGTGTTTGCTGGGACCCTGCTCCAGACAATCACTGTAAAGTGCTTGCTTCGCCTTATCGCCGATGCGTCCCAGTCTCTGCAGCACTTTTCTGGCAGTTGCGCTATCAAACGCTAGAGAAAATATAAAATAAACATGCAGATGCTGTCAGATCGCCATTCATACCATTGTCTCGTGGTCGTTGACAATGGAATTGCTTACCACATCAGATCTTCATCACACACGTACCTTGGATGGCATTCTCAGACTGCTGCTGCAAGTGTAAAAGGATATCCAAGATCTTTTGCTTGATATGTTCGTGATGGCCCCAGACGGCATCATTCTGATAGATCTCTGCCAGGAACTCTAGGGCATCCTCACGCGACTCTGCATCCCAGGCTGTATTGGCTGCAAGATCTCCTAAGCGCTGGCACACTCCCCACTGAAAGGCAAGGCTGCGTCGGCATGGAGCCTCGAAGACGAGGGTCCTGAACTTGGAGAGTTGGCCGTCCCGGAGCACCCTGTCTAGGCCTCGCAAAGCCGAGTACCAGGAACGCTTACTGTCAAAACTGAGAGCATCTCTGAGCGCTTCAAACAGGCCCTGGCCACTGTCTACCAGTGCAGTGACGTTATTGTAACCATCTTGGAGAGTTTGGAAGACCTTGACCGCTCCATCCAGGCCGTCTTCGATATGTTGTATGCCTTGCAGAAAGCTATCAATATCCAGGCCCTTCACCGCCTTCACCAAACTGAAGACGCCCTGCATCACGTTTCCTGTGCGCCGTTTTGTGGCCTGCCAGGGGCTTTCGTTGTCAGGCACACACTCCAGAGCCTGAAAGGCATAGGCGGCCAGGTACACCATATGGGGGTCGGCGCTGCCCTTCAGCTTGTCAATATATCCAGAAAGGCATTCGTGAAGAGTTACACGATCCAAGCCCTCGACCTTGCAGTCGGCCATGGCGTCCAGGACACACGACACGGCCAACATGAGCTGATAGATATAGCTTTGAGTTTGCGCGTGGGTGGTTTGCAAGCGTGTGTTGAGGACTCCCAGGATCTTAACTAGATCAGCCGCCTCGACGTAGCCCTCGTTCGCACCCTGTACCAGCTTGGCCAGTCCCTCAAGAGAATGGATATCCAACAAGGTGGATTTTTCAATGCTGCCGATAAACAGTTCCAGCAGGCATCGAAAGTCGTCCCTGTTGAGGAATGGGGCCATGCATGCGACCTCCGCAATAGCCGTTGGACCCTTCAACTCATCTCGAATGAACGCGCGGACTAGATTCGTCGTCAAGGTGTTCAGTCTTTCCTGCTCGTCTTCATTGTTTCGTGTTGCTTGGACCCAGCTGAGGGCAGAGTTCTGACGAAGGTCCTCCGATGACGGCGGAGCTTTCAAGAGCCCAAGGCAATAGACAAGCTGGTGTGTGTTGACAAGACGCTCATCTGGTTCTGGTAACTTGTACTCGATTACAGGCGGGTTCTTGTCTTGGACAAAAAAGTCACCAATGACAGACACGTCGATATCAATGGTGGCCGATCTGCGGAGCGCTGGCTGAGTTGCGACGGAATCAGAAGTCTCGAGTGGCGGCTGGACTGCGGTAGACGCTGTGGTCTTGAGTGACCGCTGGGTTGTTTTGGTGGTCTTGAGTGACGGCTGAGCTGCGACAAAAACCGAGGCTTCAAGGGGCGGCTGAATCGCGATGGAAACTGCAGTCTCAAGGGACGGCAAAGTCGAGATGGACAACTTCTGCACCTCGGAGTATCCCCACTCCTGTGCCTTCTTGTAGCTCTCCTTTGCTCTTTCCTGCCTCTTCAGTTCGTCCAAGAGTTTACTGAGCTTGACAAAAGCACAAGCGATACCATGGCGGAGATCCGCAACGTCCTGGACGGCCTCGGCGGCTTTCACACCTTTCTTCATTTGGGATAACGATGCCTCCGCCTCCTCACATAGCACAAGCGCGATCTCGTGCTTCCCTTCCTCGCTGACAATGCGACCTTGCTCCAGATAAATGTTGGCAAGCTCCAGCTCCTTCTGCGGCGGAAGGGGACTTCGCTTGGATGACACTTTGTTAAACATGTTGACCTGCGTGATCTGTTGTTAATGAGCAAATGGGAATGGCGAGGTTAAATTTCAGTCTCGGGAAGGTTGACATGTGTAGGAAGCGGGAAGTAACACAAACACACTTACAATGTTTGATGCGGCTATTGCTTGATAGGATGAAATGCGATTGAAAGTGCTGAATATAGCTGTTGAATGGGTAGTACGTAAGATAACGCGAATGAATGCAAGCAGTTCATGCGTTGAAATTAGAGTCACGTCAGAGTCAATTGACAAACGAAAGGAGGGTTGACGGTGGCCCTTACTTTTTGATTGTTTTTTCTCGGGTCTTGGAACGTGCTTTTGCTTGTTCTTGCGTCCGGCAGTTATGACGGCTGTTGTAAAACAAAAGGACAGATCAGAAAATGCAGTTCTTCAAAGATGACCAGCTATGTCCGGTTCAAGGCGAACAATTGTCTATACCTGCGAATAAACCGTCGTTCTTTCTTTTTTTTATGTTTTTTTGGTGTTTTGTTTGCGTGATGTCGGCGCCGAGCTCTGTTTGTGTCTTTCGGGCGATTGTCGCTACCCTATAACGAGTCAGGTCAGAAGAAATATAATTAGATGTTGACCCTTCTAGATCGGACCTTTGAAGTTCACAAGGAAAAAGAAGAGAGCGAGATAATAGGTCTCGCCAGGGCTGTTGCTTGGGTAGTTTTCTGACCAGGAGAGGGAAACAAAAGACGTGCGGTCGAAGAAGAGGTGGTTGTTGGTGTGGTCTGTTTCCTGAAAGTTTGAGGCTCCTTGCGCTGAATCGTTACCAAGGTGGGAACGTAAATTCGACAGGTAAAGCAACGACAAGATATGGATGGATGAACGAAGGAGAAAGAGAAAGAGATGGTTTAAGAAACAGAAAGACACAAAATTTCAACGCAGGCCCTTTTTACTCGAAAAGTGGGCTGTCTTCCTGCTTCGCCGTTCTTTGTGCCATCTACTTCAGAGCGGAAGCATCGTTTCCTCTTTTTTCCTCGTTGTTGGCGCTAACAAACTAACGACCCTTCATGCACATTAGAGAAATTGAGGACTCTGAAATTTTCACACTGTGAGGCAGTGCAGATCACATTATTTTCATATACGAAGGTAGATCTAAGCCGCTATGAACATCTCTGTGAAATTTTCACTGTTTCGTTCATAACCCGTGAAGATGGCCACAAATGTTCATAGGGCTCTTTTTTCTGTTTCTTCCACTACATCACACCTCTCCTCTCCACAATCATGAGCTCAACACGGCCGTCTTGTTCCAGTCAAGGTGTGAACGATAGAGATGGCCCTCGGGGGCAATCGAAGGGAAAATGAAAATAATACATGCAATTCGGCCTTCTTCCTTTGAATCTCTCTGTAAACCTTAGCAAAGTAAACCCTTCTGCACTGCCTCACACTATGAAAAATTGAGTGTCCTCAATTTCTCTATATGCTTTGTTATTTATCAATCATGGTTGCACAAAGAGATTTCAAGGGAACTAAGGAAAAATTCCAGGGCACTTGTGGACCGATCACTTACAAAGTTACACAAGAATCGACCGATCACTCTGTATTTACGCCTTACACTTGCTCAATGACATTTTGTCATCTGTCACTACTGTTTACTAATTGTCAACTGACGTTTTACTCTTTTGTTTTGCCAACTGTCGCCTCTGCCTTGTTAACAGGGACAACTGGCTTGTGGCAGCCAAGCGTTCATAGCGACTTTGCTTTTTGATCCCTCGATGTCGGCTCTTTCTCTCCTCCTTCATTATCATTTGAGGTCGCGTCCTCGATTACTACCATGGTGTAGTTTTTTGAAACTCATGCACACGTATCCACGTATCGAGCTTTTCTTTTTATTCTGGAAGGGTATCAGGCAAAGTCTTGGGGACTTTGGTGGGGGTGGAAGTCGTCCTTTCGATCAATCTCACGGCGTCAGCCAATGCTGTTCGATCATTGTAGCCGAGGGTAACAGGGAGCTGACAACGGCGCTCAGTCTCCTGATGCAGGAGAGCTGCTAACTCAAGACAACTGACAATCGCCGCCCTCATCTTGCCGCCAAAGTCGTCCTTGTTCAACGGGATGATGAACAGATCAAATTGCTAAAACCGGAATGCACCTTGAAAATCCATGCGTAACAGCTTGATCTCATTCTTGAACGATACAGATCCAAAAACGGCCAGACCACGATGAGGAATCGCCAGTCTACTTATCGACCCGACATGTTCAATCCATGAATCCCGCATAGCCCTTACCAGCTTGAACTCATCTTGTCAGCGCCTCTCACTCTTGGGGCGATGGACAGAGGCTGCCCCGGCTAGAAACAGCTGTTGATTGCTGTGAACAGCAACTGCATCTGCATACTGCCTGTAACAGGGCTGGGCGGTCGGGCGGTCGATAGTGTTTGGGTGTGTGTTTAATAAAGTGCTGTGTTATGAACTACTGAACTATACTACTATAGGTGACTACAATGTTTATATGCGTGATAGGAGCCAGAATGGCTGCTAGAAGTTTCTAGGATCCTTGATTAGTCAGCCCTTGACAAGTCAGCCCTTGATAAGTCAGCACTTGATAAGTCAGCACTCAGCAAGGACGAGAAGGATCTCTAACTTGGTCATGAGGTTCGGTCCCATGACCAAAAAGTGTCACATGGTTCGTTATGTCAGAGCGGATACTCTGACACTGCCCAATCTCCTTCGCATCCACGAAATGATCCTTGTCTTGGTTTTTCCTGCCCTCGACCACTGTAATAAGAACTTCGAGGTAACGTGTTTGAATCCCGTACATTGATAATGGCGTCTGCATGAAAGTCTACGTCAATCCAGCGAATCCTTCTCGTTCGTTGATGTTTTCCGGTATGTCGTCCTGCAACTGGAAGTATTGCCAGCTACAACAAATAAATAAGATTAGTTAGATAGCAATAAATGGATAGCGTTGCCGAATGTAATTGAGAATGGAAGCCATATCAGTAAAGCACGTCAAGAATGAGAAAATGAAGATTGGAAAATTAAAATGCTCATGGATCAGGTAGAAAAGTAGAGCCAATGCTTATTCTTTCGCTTTTACTTCCTCTTTTGCAAACAACCCATCAACCCATGTTTGCTTTTCCTTTTCTTTCTTTATTTTTCATCATCCATCTGCTTTTCATCACACCTGTCATTAGCCAGCATACCTCCCTCTCGCTCTCGCCTTGTCACTCTTACCTTCACCTCCACTTCCGATGTCTCCCTTCTGCGACCTTTACAGGATACCGACGGTCCAAGGCGACCAACTCGGTAAGGTCGCTGTGCTACTACCGCTCCCTCCACCTCCTCCGCTCCTTACTCCTTTTCCACCAAGTGCAACACCACTCTCACCGCCAAACTCAATGCCATCACCCCTTATTCTTCCTCCTCATTCCTCCTCTTCTTCCTCTTCGTCCTCTTCTTTTTCTTTTCCCTCTTTCCCACTTCTTCCTCCTCCATCAGTAGTTGTATTAAGTATCGTTGACGTGGAAACGGTCTCCAAAGGTCGACAGGTCTTACTGTCCCTACTATCAAGGAAAACAAACGGCAATATTGGGGCAAACAGACCACAATTGCTCGGATCATCGCTTATTTGCGGCACAACTCTTATAATAGCGACAACTGCGAAACCAGCTTGGATACTCTTTCAAACGAAGGTGTTTACGCTGCAATCGCTGACGTGGTTCAATAATTCGAGACTACAAGTCGGACAGCTGATAAGGGGAAGAGGAGGGGAGTGAAAATGGGTCATCGGTCAGGGCGGAGGCAATGGTACCGGGAGAATGCTTCAGGCTTGAAGCCTACCATTCCGACACAATTTGGTAACATAAGTGACAACGACGACCTGCTGAAGGAGAACAGCCGGATGACACAGGTTGTCCCAGTCACGCATGATTGTAGCACCCACGCATGGTTCCAGCCCGGCGCCAACCATTCCGACCCATTTAGGTAACATGAGCGAACTATTGCCATCGCATTGCATGATGCACCTCGATCCTCTGCTATGAATTGTAATGCTTGCAGACAACTCCGTCACCATTGTACAACTCATCCGGATTGCCTTATGAGCAGGCAGCGCATGATCGTTGCAGAATCTCTTGCTCCTACTTCTTCCACGGTCCTTGCTGCTCCCGCTGAACCTGTTGCCCCTGCTGCTTCCGTTGCTCCTGCTGATTTAAGTGTTTTTTTTGGAAATAGAATAGCTGTTAAGGATCAGGACAATACAGTGTATATGATCTTGGGATCGATGAGCGTGGTCTGCTCTCATTGTGGTGCTATAGGTAACCAGTTACGATATCGCCTACAACTATTCTACATCCTCCTTTCTTTTTATTGATACCCCATTTAATCACTTCTTTTGAAAACGCAGGCGTGTGTTGGACGTACAATCGCCAATCTACGCTTCTCTGCTGTCTAAGAGTCAAAACGCCGGTCATTGAAGCTTCCCTTGGCGGCCCCTCCATGTGCAGAGGATATAAAAAAGCATATAAAAAAATATCCAAAGCCCAAGGAACGGAGTGTTGACTTCCATTGCTGACATATCTCTTCATAGTGGGCAACAGAACACAGAATAAAATAGCAATAGACAGCACAAGATTTAGCAATAGACAGCACAAGATTTTTTAAAATGTATTCTCTCCCCTGTATTTCACGACAAAGATACAGTTGGGAGTAGAGGTGCTTTAGATGATCATGTTACTCAGGGGAGAGGGTCGGAAGCCAGAGTTTTAGGACCGCTGTAAAGTCCTCAATTGGTACGGAAGGGGGGGGGGAAGGGATAATGGTGTCCTAAAAGATTCACACAAAACGATAGACTGCAGCACGCCAGCGAAACTCTTGTCAGTACAGCTCTCGTCCAAGAAATAATGTGTAAAAGGACAAAGAGCAGACAAGAGGGCTCGGCGCACTACTAAAACTATCTACTAAAGAATATGACTGCTAACCTATGGCATCGCCGCCACTGCCTAGCCACCACATCTTTTTGTAACAGAATCCATCCCTTCACTTTACGTGAGTTGGAATCTCATTCCAACATCTTCACGAAGTGAAAGTCTGGGTTTTTTCGATGGGTACCTGGCAGACCTGATTTTTTCGTCCTTATATGGCAAGTTGTTAAGGGTTCAGGGTGAGGATTTTATTTGATGCGCTGAGGGTGTTACTCAGGGGAGAGGGTCGACGGCCAGAGTTGTAGGACCGCTGTTAGGTCCTCAATTGGTACGGAGGGGGGGAAGGGGTTGTAGGTTGGCGGGAGGGGAAGTGATAATAGCGTCCTAAAGGAATCACACAAAACGATATACTGCAGCGTGCCAGCGAAACTCTTGTCAATACTGCTCTCGTCCAAGTGATGTGTAAAAGGACCTTGTATTCATATTATTAAAGAGGGGGTTGTTACCTGCAGCGTGCCAGCGAAACTCTTGTCAATACTGCTCTCGTCCAAGTGATGTGTAAAAGGACAAAGAGCAGACAAGAGGGCTCGGCGCACTACTAATACTATGTCTACTAAAGAATATGACTGCTAACCTAAGGCATCGCCGCCACTGCCTAGCCACCACATCTTTTTGTAACAAGGGCAATGTCTAAACCCTTAACAACCTGCCATATGAGGACGAAAAAATCAGGTCTGCCGGGTACCCATCGAAAAAACCCAGACTTTCACTCCGTGAAGATGTTGGAATGAGATTCCAACTCACGTAAAGTGAAGGGATGGATTCTGTTACAAAAAGATGTGGTGGCTAGGCAGTGGCGGCGATGCCTTAGGTTAGCAGTCATATTCTTTAGTAGACATAGTATTAGTAGTGCGCCGAGCCCTCTTGTCTGCTCTTTGTCCTTTTACACATCACTTGGACGAGAGCAGTATTGACAAGAGTTTCGCTGGCACGCTGCAGTGTATCGTTTTGTGTGATTCTTTTTGGACGCTATTGTCACTTCCCCCCCCCCCCCCCCTTCCCCCCTCCGTACCAATTGAGGACCTAACAGCGGTCCTACAACTCTGGCCGTCGACCCTCTCCCCTGAGTAACACTATTCGGCTCGACTTAAGGGGTCTCAAGCCACCAACTATTCCAGCGTACCACAGACACCTTGATTTTAATATATGAGAAGGATAGAGATGAGAAGAGATAGAACCTAGGTTTCCCCTTGAACCGCCCCCGAAGGGCAGCAAGGGTCATTCGGAGGTATGCGCAGGTGCGCCTGGCGCAGAAAATGGATTGTGTTTCCTCGGTTTTGCGCAGTACACTTTATCTATTCTGCCTTGCTATAGCGACGTAGAATACCGTGCTCGCATGAGCTACACTTAGACTTCCGTTTTCGGATTAAAACTTTGACGTTCCAAAAAAAAAAAAAAAAAAGAGATGAGAAGAGATAGAGAAGAGATCAATGTTTGGTCTATCGTTGATTACACCTGAGTCGTCCTGATGCATTTTCAGCTTGTTGCGGTTTCGTTCTGTTACAATGTGCCTGGCTAGTGTGAGAGTCATATAAGGACAGACAGTACATTTTCTTAGTATTCATGGTACTGTATGTATGTCGGGCACCCATGTACAGTACACGTAATCACAGCACACACAGTAAAGCGCACAGGGATTATTGCTTACTTCAGTAACGAACGCTAGCTGCTTAATCAAAAGCCGATCTGAACTTGGACGCCCCCGGAGGTCCTCGGGTTTTTGAACGCAACTTTGCCAACACAGTCGCCATATTCGAAAGCGTTCGACAAGCCAAAATTAACGCCGCTAGTCGTCGAAGTGGGGGTACCAAAGGTGACCCACGTGTAGGGTAGAGAGGAGCAAGCGTGTTGTTGCCCGTCGTTCCAAAGGTAGTATTCCACGAAACCGACCTGACTATTAGCAATTCCCTGGGTTCCACTCGGCAGCGTCCATGTGCCGACATGGACTCTACTACCAGTCGTAGTATCAACCGAGGTTCCCATCCAGGTCGTGCCAACGGTGTTCTGGACAACCAAATTGAAACCATTAGAGTAAGGTGCGCTGAACTCAACACTGCAACTCACGCCAGGGCCACCATCAGCCCCAGGAGCGCAGTTGGGGTCATTGGTCGTGGTGCCCGACGCGAACGAAGAGAAAACCGCGTGGATGATGGGTTTTCCGCCCGAGTCTGGCCGAGGCTGGAGGCCAGCGTATCCGACGTCACTTTGACCAATGAAGCCGAACTGCTGGGCAAAGTAGTAGCCGGACTTGTGAGGAGTTTGGCTGATGCTGAAAGGGAAAGTGACGTCCTTCAACCCATAGGAAGGACCATCTGTGGCATTCCAAGAGATCCCAACGAGGGCGAAGACTACTGAAGGCGCGTATAAGACGAGAACAGCAACAGCGGCGAGTATCATCGTTTTTTTAGTTGTGGAAGAGGTACAATTGTTCCTAGTAACTGAAGAGGGTACCTAGCGGAGCCGAAGATATGAAGGCTCAAGCCTATTATCCGAGGGCCAGGACCATATATGTGTTATCTTCTTTTATTGTATAAAATGCGAAAATCCAGAAAACTAAACGAAAGTGAAAAGAGAAAAATGAAATAAGTTCTGCTCAGGCACCAGATCTGTCCCTTATCTTCGTGGTGTGAGCCAGGTGCCAGGAGACAAAAAAGGGTGGGAAAACAAAAAATCCAAGGGCGGGACATATATGGTCCTGGCCCTCGGATAATAGGCTTGAGCCTTCATATCTTCGGCTCCGCTAGATATTATCCGTCGGGCCAGGACCATATATGTGGATCCAGAGCAGAAGTTATGAGAGAAACCAACGACGTCAAATTGGTCGCGGTTGCTCGCGTCAGGCGGTAGTAATTGTTGACAATCACGTCGTTGACATGGGCGCCCTTCTTGATGGCCCCTGTAGGGCCGATCGCGCGGGCTTTGGGTCGAGTCTTGTTCGGCGGGAGGCCGAGTAGGTCGGTGATCGCGGCGATGTGGCTGCTGATCGTTTGACTGGTGACAGTTGTCTTGGGGAAGCGGACGTCGCAAATGAGAGGTCGATGGGGGACCAATTCCTTCTTGTGATGTGGGACCATTATCTCATGGTCCTCGATGGTGGCGTAATTGATGGTCGGCTGGTCGTCGCATCCTTCATCCTCGGGGCGGCGCCGCTTATGCGCCATGCTGTTAAAGACCAGTGAGGATTCTTGGCCAGAATGTCGAGGGCATTTCCTGGAGCTGGAAGCACGTGGTGTCGCGGTATCGCAAGGGGGGCTGCGACTGACATCATCTTGACCGTTGGGTACCATACTGCTGAGGGCCAGTGGGGTGTTACGATCGTTGCTGAGATCTGCTCCTGGCGAATCTTCTCCAGGACGAGAGGGAGGAGATTCCAAGGTGGGCAAAGGTAAACGTTGCCTAGGGGCTGCCATCGGTGTCGGAGAGCATCGTGACCTATTGCGCCTGATGATGGTTTCCAGGTCATGTACTGTTGTAGATGGTGGTTTTCGGGAGATGCGAAGAGATCGACGGTATGGGGACCCCATTTTTGGTCCATGTGGTCGAAAAAGGATGGACTGATTGACCACTCGAGTTGGCCCGTCAGTTGACGGGAGGGGGCATCCGCTGGGTTGAAAGCTGATGGGACGTACGTTGTTCGAATCCTGGTTCCGGTCTTGAGGCACCAGTTCCATATTGATGTCGCCAGCTTCATCAGCTCCGGCGACCTCGTTCCGCCAAAGTGGTTGATGTAGGCGATTGTTGTGATGTTGTCCGATATGATGTTGACTGTGCGACCCTTGACCTGTGGTCTCTGAAGGGCGTAGAAGACCGTCAACAATTCCTTGTAGTTGATGTGTCTGGGGTAGTGAGTTGCCGGCCAGGTGCCACTGTATGATCGGTTGTTGATTACTACTCCCCACCCGGACGTGGAAGCGTCCGTGTAGATGTCGATCTGAGGATTGGCCGCTATCCATGAGAGACCGTTCCATTGTTGAAGGTGTGTGCGCCACCAAAGCAGTTCCTCGGTCGCTGTCGTCGGCAGAGTAATGGAGCCCTCCCATGGTATTCCCGATTTCAGTGCATTGATCTTGACCGCTTGTAGGTGCTGCACCTTGAGTCGAGCCGGAAAAACTGCTGCTGTCATGGCGATCGCCTTGCCGATGAATGATGATAGCTGTCGTACTGTGCATGTCGTCTTGTTGATTAACTTGGATGCCTCGCGTCTCATGTCTCGGATCTTGGCTCCTGGGATCTGTAATGTCATCGCCGTTGTGTTGATCTCGTAGCCCAGATGTTGTAGTGTCTGGGATGGCGTCAGGCTCGACTTGGATTCCTTTGTCAGAAAACCGAGGCTGGCTAACTTGTCCGTCACCATCTTGGTGTGTATCTGTGATAGCTCCTTGGTCGCTGCTGCAATAATCAAATCGTCCAAGTAGGCCGATATCCTGATCCCGCGTGATCGCGCCCACCGTAGTAGCGGCTTCAGAATCTTGGTAAAGATGAGCGGAGCCAGAGATAGACCGAACGGGAGCACTTTGAACTGGTACAGTTTGCCTCGCCATTGAAATTGTAGGTAACGCCGGGAAGAAGGGTGAATGGGCACGTGTAGAAATGCATCTCTTAAATCGATACTGGTAAGAAAATCGTTCCTTTTTATTAGGTGAACTACCTGAGAGATAGTCTCCATTTTGAAAGGTCGGATCGGCAGATACTGATTCAAGCGACGCAGGTTCAACACCGGGCGTAGTTCTCCTGTCTTCTTCGGAATCACGAACAACTGGCTTGAAAAACCGGGTCCAGTGCTGGGCTCGATCGCATTCTTGCTCAGCAAATCGGACACTTCTTTGTCGATGCTCGCCATTGCTTCCTCCGACATTGGGTGTGGCGGGGGATGCGAGGTCGATGTTGGTGGTGGCGACTCGAAGGGGATCCTGTAGCCGTCCTTGATAATGTCGAGGATGGGGGACTCTTGGGTAATGCTCTTCCAGGCTCCTAAGAATCCTTTGAGCCGCCCTCCGACCTTGGGGATCTGTCGTTCCTGCAGGAGGTGCTTCGTCCGCGCTGTTGGCTGTTCCACCTTTGGTTTCCGGAGTCCCTCTGAAAAGAAGAGGAGGAACGGTTGCTGTTATTGAAATCCCGACCTGAGCGGCTCTGTGAGCGGCGGTCCTGGTTGTTGTTGTTCCAATTTTTGTCGGAGTTATGTCGGCCATTGCCGTGACTATTGTTGTTGTTGTTGTTGCCGCCTTTGTCTCGGCGGTTGTCGGTTCCCGTCTTGCTCTTAAAGTATGTCTGTAGGGTGAGGATAGACTTAGTATGGTCGTAGAAGGACTGTGGGTCGAACATGTTGAGAGCGTCGTCCTCGAAGTGTGCTCCTGCGGCTTCGCGAACGTTAGCCATGCGGGTCTCGTGCATCTTAACAGCCATTCCGCCCAGGTGTTGGCGCATAAGGACTGCAAACCTGACGGAAAGGTCCAGAATCTGGTCTGGCTTGAGACGTTCAGGGTCGATCTCCTGAAGCTGTCGGAATTGGTGATAGAAGTAATCCACGGGGCGTGTGAGCTCGGTGCATCGCTCCTGAAACTCGCGGATCTGTGAATCATGCTTCCTATTGAAGTCGAGGTGTTGGAGACGACGTATGGGACCTTGGGTGCTTTATATTGGTCCATGTGAACGTTCTTGGGAAAGCCTCGAATGACTTCCTTAAGTTCGGTGTCGCTCTTTGTTGGTTTGGTGAAAAACTCGATAGGCGTTGCTGGTTTGATGCTGGGGCATCCCATGACATCCACGTCTGAGGGGCGGTAGTGTTGAAGTGGAGCTTGAGTTGTGATCGCGGGATCGGAGCCCTGGCGAAGGCGATCTGCCATAAAGCGTTCCATGCGGTCCAGCCTTTGGCTGAGGAAGAGGATCTCTGCATCCTTGGGATCGAGTGGGTGGTCGAGTGGGGGTGAGGAAGAGGGAGAGGAGGACGGTGAAGGAGAGGGTTGTTCCATGGGGACCTGCTGAGAAGGGTGAACTCTGATGATGCGGGCAATGTCCCTGGCGAAACAAAAGAAGATAAGGGACAGATCTGGTGCCTGAGCAGAACTTATTTCATTTTTTCTCTTTTCACTTTCGTTTATTGCGGGGATATTTGTTTGACCTTTCAATTATTACTAGTCTTTTCTGGTCTTGTACTTGATAAACATGGTCGTATTGCGATCATGGTACCTTTGTCTCTGGGAACTGTTGATAACTACCGCAAAGCTTGTATTTATCTCTGGAAGCTTCAAAAACAAAGGACCACCTTGTGCCCAAAACCTGCGCCTAACCCACGTGCCGATGGACCTTTGGATGATGCCATCAACGCTTATGGCGTTCGTCTCGTCTATGACAAGGCTACAACTGAAACAACAAGAAACACAGCTTGTGACACACGCGACACATATGACGGTAATGACAACTAAACACCATGAAAGCATGCCCTACCTTTTCACAGCAACCTGGCATATCTCCCTTCTTTTATAAGGTAACAAGCTGGTACGTATGGCAACGTACACCTGGCAACAACAGCCTGTACACCGAACCAAAGGAGTCCGCAAATACAAGTGCATCACCCGGTTCCCCCTCATCCGTGAGCGTCTCTGCATTCTGGCTCGGCACCATATGCTCCTCAGAGATGAGGACATCCGGAACCTCAATCTGTCTGATGTCTTTGCAACGCTCAACCGCAAGAACGCCCATGGATCGACGTGGGCCTGTGGACTCACGTTCTGCCTACGACGTGGCAAAACAAACAAGAAGGGCGCCATGCTCTACGCCACTACCTTCCGCCACAAGAGCTTTCGTCGCTGTACTGTGGGAGCATTTGCATTTTACATGCTCGAGCGGTTCATGGTATGTTAAATATTTGTTTACTGGCTACTTGCTGTGAAATGCACCCAAGTTTAACGGACTTTATTTCTCCTCTTCTTTTCCATACTAGATTAACAAGGAAAGCCCTCCCGACTTCTCAGATGTAGACAAGTGGAAGGACATCAAGGTCCTTGTTGGCAGTGATGTCCCATCTGTGCCTGATCCTGACCTCAGCTCTGTCACCAACAGTGCCGCGCAAATCGAGGCAGAGCTAGAGCATGAGCTTGCTCAGGACAAGCTGGACAAGACACGCATTGACGCTCTCACAAGCAGAGCACAACAACAGGCAACTGCCGCTGTGATGCGTGCCTGTGAGGTCTTTTCAGTAAGGCTCACCCACGCCGGTCGCCATGCAGGTACCAAGGAGGCGTTCAAGCTAGGACTTGGCATCCAGGATATCCAACATCTCGGGCGATGGGTGATGAACCAGATGATGAGTTTCTATGCTCCCAAGAACCCTATCAAAGGTGTATACTTTATGGCGCACTTTAATGGCACTGATGAGCTCTATATTCTTGAGCGTGACC